GGCTGGAAGGATGTGGTTGGTGGGGAGAAGCTGCTTAGACGATGCTGAGGCAGTTGGCGTTGAGGTTGATGAGACCGCCCTGAGTAGTAGAGGAGGTAATTAGTGAGGGGGTTGGGAAAAGGGGGGGATTGGTGGGAGGTGCTCACCTGGACGGCGTCACCGGACTCGCAGCAGTAGGCGGACTGGTCGCAGTTGGAGGCGATGACGTTGACAACGCAGTCGAGGACACCGTTGCAGCAGACGGCGGTGTTGTGGGTGGAGGAGCAGACGTTGACCTCGTTGGAGCCGCCGCCGCCACGGGGCATGACCATCTTGGGGAAGGCAGAGGCGGTCATGGCAGCAGCCAGAACGGTGAAGATGGTGGAGAACTGCATTTTGATGGTTGGTTGGGGGGCTTTGAAAAAGCTGGAAAAGTGTTGTGTGTTTAAAGTTTGGAGTGTTGAGTTGGAACTGTTGCTTGATGCTGGAGAAGAATTGAGAGTCGATAGGGGAGGAGGAAGGCTCTCTTTATAGATTCTTCGGACGCACCAAACTCAATGCTTTTGCTATGAGTTCTGAACTTCCAAGGTCTCAGAGGGTGTGATCTTCGGTCCACCGCTCGGTCCTCCGGGCCATCCCTTGATTTGCGGTCTGGCGGTCTTCGTAAACTGCCTCCATCGGCATCAGCTTTGCCTTTTTTGGTGCTACGGACAAAAATTTTGTGAGACAAGGCAGAGCAGATCCAAACCCTAGTGTCCGAAACCTTCATGGCTTGAGATCAGCAACTGGAAAGTCTCATAGCATGGCCAGGCATCTCAATGCATTGTGGTAACAGCGTAGGCCACGGCTTTCAAAACATGAATTTCATTTCGGACCATTTGCGAAAACGGAGGGCCAAGTCGGATGGCCATCGGTGCTTGTAAGACAATTTAGGGAGTGAAATGATAATCTATTTCTTAGTTTGATAGTTTTACCAATTGACCCGCGTTGTAGCATGAGAAGGCAACCTTCAACTTGGTTGATACCAGACGGAAACTCGGAGGCAGACAATTTAGGCCGTGCCTTCTTTCGTGTCTGAGACCATCTTCCCCACGATCTGGATGACGGAAGACTGCAACTGGGCGCGGGATGAGCCGGCTCGGCATTGCTCTAGGTTAAGGACTCTACCATAGATGGGACGACATGAAATGGCCTTCCATCCTCTCGCAGAGCCCAGTCTATTTTTCACCAATTTGTGCGCCCTGGTACCTGTGCGCCCTGCCAAACCCAACAGATTGGGACGACACTGGCCCGTCCTTTCGGGATCTGAGCCCGACTCCTCCGGAAAGCGGCATGAACTGATCGTCCAGTTCAGCCGCTTTTCAGTTGTCACCATCTTTCGGAGACTTGCAGGATGTTGAAGAATCAGGTGGCACTGCTCATGCTTGTCCGTGGCCCACCACCACTGCCTTTCACAATCTCCAGATTGGGCTACTGAGACTTTTCTGTCACACCATACATCGCGCCGGGTAAGTCGCTTTGACCCTCATGCTTGTTGTGTTTTTGCCACTACATTCGATGCACAGCATGCCTGGACATTTCTTGTTGGGAACAGGAACAATTGGCTAGATAGCTCTTCTTCAGGGGTTGTGATGTCATCCAAGGCTTGGACTGATGCTCTCAATTTCACTGCCTTACACAAGGGTGGCCAAGGCAGCTTTGAGCAGGAACTATACCTCAACTTTGGACCAAGCCCGCGATTCAGTGAAAATCGCGCCGGCAGGCTGCTAGTATGGATGCGGAATCCCGATGCCGGCCTCAGTTCTGGTCTCGGTCGATTGAGCTTCCAGAAAGCCCGACACACCCAAAAACGTTGTTATTGGCGGGTTCTTGTGAAAGAGATGAATCTAGCATGAAAAACGCCACGGAAAAGTTGACAATTGTCCGGTGATTTCCGGATTGTTGATCAACTGAACAATTCGGCGGACTCATCATTGTCTCAGACGTCTGCATCAAGAGTTGAAGTGTTTTTAGAACACTCAAACCTTCTCGGAGTCTTTTGCCCAATTGCAACATCCGAGGAGCATATGTTGTCACCATTTCAGCAAAGAGCTGCAGCTTCGTCGCCGTCAAGGTTTCGGGTTTTCAGGTCTAGGCCCCCCAGCAGGTTGTCTGGGCTGTAGAAGGCAAAACCTTGTTCCTCTTCCGACAGTGGGAAGTGGTGGCCTGGAAACCTGTCAGGACTTCCCGGACTAGCTCAACCCAACCAGGCTCTTAATCAACAAAAAGATAGTGGTGTGGAGAGAATAGGGTCTCTTGAACCTCATGGGAAGGCGAGTACCCATTGGCCCATGAGCTTGGATGACAATGAGACAGTAGCCACATGCTCCGGTCGCCAACCTCTGGAACCCCGGCTCTGACACCGCTTAGAAAGGATCTTCAGGCCCTGGGGCAAGTGGGTAGATCTCAGCTTGGCTTTTCGGCAAAGACAACCTGGCCCAGGCTTTGTCTGAGAACACTGCCAATCGAACCATGGCATCTGCCAGCATCCAGGACCGAGACGTGGCAAGCCATTCGGATCACAGGCAGTCTGACCAATTTCAGAAGGGATACTCTGCAGGGTGGTAGAAAATCAACGCCTCTTTTGGCCTGGCGCTTGCTTGTTTCGACGACAACTCGCCCTCTCAATGCCGCCGCCCCAGGGGCAAGCCACACTCCCCGGTTCGGACCTTTTCGGCCAGATCCGACGACCCACGCGTGTTGGGATTTTCTCCCTCCCGGGTCGAGCATCGATCCTGTTGCAAATCTCAAGGATGCCACAAAAATATCTTTCCACAGCCCGGAACTGTTGAATTGTTTCTGCCGGACCAGTTGCTCCTATCCTTTAGGTGAGGAGATGGGAATTATGAGATGTCGTTGCCCAAGAAGTGGCCCCAGCAGGCAGACCCTCGGAGTGGGGCTCATGGGGTGCCGATTGTGGGGCTTCCGCACAACGGGAACCAACGGACTCTTCAGCAGAATTTCTGCATCGCCCGAACAGTAATAAAAGAACCTCACAAGGTTTTATAGTGTAGCGGTTATCACTCCGGATTCTGATTTCTTCAGAATCTTCCGGCAACCCCGGTTCGATTCCGGGTAAGACCTTCCCTTTTGCCGATGTCAATCTCCTTGACAGCAGCCTTCTCCTCTTGTCTTCCCCTGCCTTTCTCTCACCTTTTTTTAAACCTTGCCAGTTTCCCGACAACCTCTCGTTGCTTCGAGCTAAGAAGCTTCTTCTTGAACTTCAGAAAGACAAACTCATCGGCCCTCGAAGTTTCCATCTTCCCACACCTTGTCAAGAGCAGATGTTAGGCATGAGCACCATCCAACTTCTTGGTCCCTGAGTTGAGGTTTAAGCGGATACAGGGTTGGACACACCTGTCTCATACAGATTCACCCTAGTCCTTAATTTAGCTTGAGTCTCTCAATCTTTTTCTTCACACTTCTCACCACGTCTTAGTCACTCCTCAGAAGCTCTTGCTTTGAAGTTCTGGGCTCGGCTCACCCGGCTTGCCCAATTTCACCACGTCACCGTCACGGACACCAACAGCCCATGGCCTCGATTAGGAAAACTAGGTCTGAGACTACTCAACACCATCTTCCCCGGCCCGTGTCCTGCACGGTGACATTTTTGCCAACTTTGAGCCCCAGCTCGTCGTTTTCGTCATCTCAAGGCTTGTACCGCACCGTCATCTCTGACATGGAGATGATGGTTGCTCTCTCGGTGACCGTCGCAGAAAAGGTCTCGTCGCCGGGATAGAGGCAGATCATCTCAACCTGCGGGCCGTCGGCCTGGGCAGCATCTACCCTCGTTGTATCTTTCGCAACAAAGAGCTCTCGGTACCCTGTCGGCGTGAAACCCGACCTCTCAAACGTCCTCCTCCCAGCCGGCGTGGCCGTGAGCGCTACGCCGTCAGCAAGACCCAGGACAGCCTCAGTTCCCTGTTTCTTGAGTTGTTTGGCCAACTTACCTGACATCCCAAGCACCTTCCACCCTGTCCTGGTCTCTGCCCGGCGCATAACCTCCTCCAGAGCCAGCTCAGCAAACCGCTTCTTCCCTGATTTTGCCTCTCCCTCCACACCACCACCCGGTAACGATCCAGCCCCAAACCTCTCGATATGATAGACGTGCAACCCCACCTCCTCCTCCTCTCCGTCCCCATTCCGTACCCCTCTTCCCCAAACTCCATCCCAGCAAACATCCCCTTCACCTCAATCTCAGGCTCCTTCAACCTCCCCACCAGCAAATCCTCCCAACACCTCCTCTTCAGCGGGAGCACTATGACCACCCCAGCCACCGCGCTCTGCGCGTCCTCTGGGCAGCCAGAGCCATGCGGTGACGACCCTGCAACCTCCCAACAGACCGCCAAATTCGGGCACGCGTCGACCCAAGCGCGCAACCGCGTGTAGGACAATGACACAGGGTACATTTCCTGGTCGGACGCGTGGGCTGCGCGGAGAATGGGGAGGGATGCCTGGGGTTGGGGTTGTGGTCATGGTTGGGGTTGGGATCTGCGGGGGCAGTAGTGGCTGTGCTGGTGGCGGGTTCATCGTGTTGGTGGACTGCGTGTGTGGTTGTTCAAATGTGGCGGTTCGAGGTTGTGCGCTGAGTGAGCTGTGTCTTCTTGGCGATTAGGACTCTGCAGGGATTCGTGGGTGTAATTTCCGGAGCTGAACGCTGTGCAAGGGCGACGCGTAAAAGCGGTGGGGTTGTTAGACAGGTCGCCGAGGTGAGGCCTCAGATGTTGTGTGACGGGAGGAAGGTCTGGGTCCGTGTGGTGGTGCAGTTCAAGAGTGCTGGCCGTCTCCAATATCCACTCGAAACAGTCAGATTCCTGTGGATTACCGAGAAAAGTCTCCAGCATGTCTAGGCAAAGGCAAGGTCGAAAAAAAGCTTCTTCATTGCCTCAAACAACAAGGGCAAAAGAAGAAAGAAAAAGAACCAGCAAAAGTTCAAATATTGAAATGTTTTTTCCAGCAAAAGGAAAAGGAATAGTTTGCTTTGCCCCCGACCAGAATTGAACTGGCGACCTCGTCATTACTAGTGACGCGCTCTACCACTGAGCTACAAGGGCTTTGCTGTGATAGTGTGAACTGAAACACACACTGTGTTGCTAGTACTATGATTGAAACAATCACGAACAACAGCTTGCGTTGTTGTTATCCTCTTGATCTACCATCTACCTCACTCCCAGCTCTTAATTCTCGCTCTCTATCTATAAAGAAGTATGGTTTAGTAATTGTGATATGGAACTTACCTGAATTAGGAAAACTTTGAGGTTCCCGCATGTGCTTTACTTACACATCGTACTGCATTGGTTGCCTCCGTTTTTGTTTAGGCTCAGGACTATGGGCTAATCGAAAATATGAAATGTTCCAAATTCATGCTGCCGGTTTGTCCTGTTTTATTACCGGGCGTCTGGATCTCTTCAGGTTTCGTTTAGCTTGTGTTTGTAAAATGAGGTTCGGGACTCCAGAAAAGTATAAGTTAGAAGCTTAGAACATTCTTTACACCCTTAGTTCTCAGTTGCCTTTTTGGCTTGCTTCCGACTTCGATATAGCTTTTGCGACAGACAACGGTCTAAGCTGCATCGAGTATACATTTTGAGCATGTCTTTTTGTCACATACAGTACCGTTCCCCTTATTCTTTGGGCAACCTGCTGTAGAGTTGGCCGATGTCTCATCATTCAGGCTCTACAAATGGAATTGTACTAGTAGCACAGTTCCAAATAAGTGAAGTTGAGAAGCACTGAACGAAACATAACTTAAACGAGTACCACAGCAGTTTTGAAATGGATCGTTCTAAAACCGGATACAAAAAAGGGGGCTCAAAGGTAACAGGCTGCTGAGTATTTAGACAGCTAGGCTCCTCTGATCAAAACCTCAGGAGTTGGCTTATCATCCAAGACTTGACAGCACTTCAAGCATCCAAGTCTTAATTATCCTTCCATAGCCTTTTTTCCTATAACCTGAGCAGCCAAAAGCGAGCCTCGAACCAAATTTCCACCATTCACCGGGCAATCGTTCAGCTTTGACCAGAACTCTGCTATTCTCATGGTTAGGATGAAACTTTTTTCTGTCATTTTCTTTCTTGGCTTTGGTGTTCCAGGAACAGTTGCAACTCTACCAGTGCCTGCACCAGACTCAGGGGTGCCTGCTCAGCTCGTCGATGACAGGTAAGCTATTTACACTCTCCTTGTCTGTATGACTTATGACCAGATAACTTGGCAGTGAACACACAGTTCAAACTAAGGTCACGAAAGTCTCTCAGCAAGTTCCGTCTTGCTATCGGACGTGTAACGGCTTTCCGGTTGCCTGTACTCCTCCATATGTAAGCAGCTCCAACTACACCATTCGGCGCATCCAAATCTTTTACTTCTGTGGTTACTGTTGCTCATTCATTTTGTGCGAACAGTTTCTCGTATGGATTGTAAGTGCCACTCTGATGTCTCTACCTGTCTCTGGGGCAATGACCAAGACCAATGATTCTAGCCTCTCTCGTGCTACACTTGTTGTACTGGAGTGATGATTGAATAGGATTGGGAATGAGATACGAGGGGGGGTTGTGGGATAGGACCCTTTTCGTTGGTGGCTATCTATGAAAGGAACTTGAATTAGGACAGTTAGTTTGGTGTTTGAAAGGAATTTTCAGAATATTCCCTTCCAGTTTGGGACGAGGCTCTGGATTCGAGTTCAGGGTAGCAGGAAAGCACCATGCGTTTCAAGTTGCAACATGATCTTCTTTTGCCATCTCTCTCTCAACCTACCGTGTCCGTATCGCCCGTGCCACTAGCAATCCCTTGAACGTTGGGCCATATCAAACAGAAAGTCCAAATTTTATTGGACTACCACGAGACATCAGAACTTAAGCAAACACGGCAACCATCCGATAGATGATGCGATGTTCCGGAAAGCCTTGTAGGACAGATTAAGCCCAGCCACGTGGCTCCCACCAGGCTTCTGCCACCCCTGTTTGTTCAAGGCTTTGATGACCAAGCCTCAGATGTTACACCAACGATTTGGCTGTCGAAACCAGTGTTTTTTTTACACCAGATACTGTGAGTTAAATGCCTCAGCTTTGAAGCTGTGACTTCGGCTGACTTAGGTTGGTTAACATGAGCATCGGAGATACTTCATATGCTAGAGAAGAAAAGCCGGCAAACAGCTCCAAAGAGACCAGAGGAAAACTGGCCTTAGGCTTTTTAATGCAAACAGAATCATCGTTGTCTGCGCAAATAGGCAGTTTTAAAACCAAAAAGGCTCTGCGGCAGACCGACTGAATGCCGTTACACTTGTAGGCCTCTCCCGAGGCATGAGATGATGAGTTGGCTCACCGAGCAAGGCAGACAGGGCATCAGTAACGGTCGACGAGATGGCATTAAAAGCAGGCAAAAAGTCTGAAGTTATAATGGTGATGCAGTATCCAAGAAGCACTCACCTTCTCGCAAAGAAGCAGATCAAGTAACTGGACAACAAGCGCAAGTCATCCTCAAGCCCCTTTGACAATATGTTGCTGCTGGTGTGCGCTGGGTGCCTGATTCTCCTCATTCTGTGGGAGCGGCATAGTCAAGCCAGGGCCGAAGACGATAAGACTATGAGATGGGTCCACAAGCAGCTGAACGTCGTAAACTTCCACTATGCGGGAAACCCAAAGCCCCTGGAGAGGCTGCGGCTTCGTGCCATAGTAAACCATCGGCTTAAACAGGCTTTCGACATCGACAACTCCCTCACGACCCGGTCCCAGTCAGTACACAAAGCCTTCCTCAACTTGGCATTCGGGATACTCAACAAGGACGACCGAAATTGGGCCAAGCTCTACAGCGTCGCCGAGGCCTTTATCAAGGGAGAAGTCAAGGGAGCCACCAAGGTCGTCCAACTCGCCGAGTTCGTCCGGTGCATGGTCCTCGCGGTCGTTCTGTTCGACAACTTTGGTCTTGACCCTGCTGTTCTAAACCGGAAGCTTCTGGTCACCATCACCGAGAAAATAAACAGCCAGTGGTTGCAATCCAAGAAGGTGTGGGGGCCGCACAACCTTGCTCCGTCGCCTGACCTTAACACGGCTATAAGCTCGCTGGGCATCCGGTCCCCATTCCCTAACGCAGAGCAGGCGATGATGACATCGCCTGAGATCCTCGGCCTGCTCATGCCACAGTACGAAACCCTTTGGCGCGTCGTCCTCCTGACCTTCGTCACGGCATACCACCACCAACCCTCGGCGCTCCTTGACACGGTGCAACGGACAACCCAGGTTCCCTCTTGCCTCGGCAACTCCTCCCTCGAGAAAGAAGCCCTCAAACTGGCCAAGGTCCGGCCCCCTCCCCTCCCTCCCTTCCATCTCCCCTTTTCCCCATCTCCCCACTAACCCCCTTTACAGGAAGCCCTCCGCCTCTACCCCTCAAACAAACACCTTTACCGCGCACCCTAAAGTCCCGCGCCTCGCCCTTAGCAGCCGACATCTCCGCCTTGCACCGACACCCGCAGATCTGGGGCCCTGACGCGCTTGTGTTTCGGCCCTCGCGGTTCGACGAGGGCGTGCTGACGGAGCGGCAGAAGGAGGCATACATCCGTTCTCGGTCAAGCGCACCGGTGTCCGGCGGGTGCGGTGGGGAATCCGTTTGGGAGAGGATGGTTACGGCGTTGGTGGTGGTGTTGGGGAGGGGTTGGGGAGGAGAGGGGTTGGGGAGGAGAGGGGAGGCTGAGGTTTGATGGTGGTGGTGATGAAAGAGGTGTTGTTGAGGAGAGGCGCTGCCGACGGGGAGGGATGAGATGGAGGGGTGGGTTTGGGAGAGGCGAGGGATGAATGAGGGTTGGGTGAAGGAGGTGGAGGTTGAGCCGGGGATCGTGATGCCTTGGGATTATCGAAGTGCCTTGATGAGGCTGTTGAGATACATACCTGAAGGCTGCAATTGATGAACAATTTGATGATTGCTTGGCAAGATCTCGAAGCCACCCCAAGATGATCCCTTCAAGCGCGCGGTGCACCTCAGTTATTTTGGTCTGCCGAACAAGTCAAAGTGGCCCGCGGAGGTCCGGGTTCACCGTGGAGTGGAGGTTCAAGCGGCCAGCGGATTGCCAGCCCCGCCTGCTGCTGGAGCGAGCAAATCAACGTCTCCCGCTTCTATTATTGGCCCACTCTTTTCTTGGATCGTGCAACCGCCAGGGTTAAACCCAACCTTCTGCCGCACAACTTCCAACAAGGGTGACTAGTCTAGTGGTCAGGACGCTTCGTTGTGGAATTTTCTTTGGAAAATGCCTTTGGAATCCTCTGTGGTTCCCAACGACCGAAGAAACCCCGGTTCGATTCCGGGGTCGCCCACACCTTTTTGCTAACAAGCCCAAGCGTTAAAGCTCTGTTTTCCTCGACAAATGCCACGAAACAGCAGGAACTGCGCCTGAAAGCTCGCTTTTGGGTCGCTCGGCCTTTTCGTCCGGCACATGTTCTTCCTCTCTAGTGTTTTGAGCCTCGGAACTTTTACAACAAGCGCCAACAGAGCGAGAACGCAACAACAACATCATCAGTGAGCTTGTCGCGGATTGTTCCCAACCAGCATGACAGCATGCTGCTTGCTTCCATTTTGGCAACAGCAATAACTGGAGGTCAAAGCGATGCAGGTCGACCGAGTCCAAGTTTGTAAGGTGGTATCCAGGCCGGCAGTATAGACGGGGATGTCAACCTCACCACCCGCCTCTCGAGGCGGCCAGATCGGCGGCATGTTATGAATCGAGTTGAGGATTGGCCAGCAGAAACCCCACGTGGTACTATCGCCAAGGGCCAGCTTTCGTGGCCTCTCGACGACAACACCGCCAAGTCGCGTGATCGTTCCTTGGGCTCGCAGCTAGGCCCGGGCCGGTCCTCTTAAACGGTGCGGGCGCCACGGCAGCATGTCTCGGCCACCTCACGCTCCGCATCCTTCACCGGTTAGACCTTGCCAGCCATGTTCTACCGCCTGGCCCTGGGTGCACTCGTCGCCGCTTCCTTGGTCGAAGCCTCCTTTGACAGGAACTTGGCCTACAGCAGCCCTTCGAGGCGCCACCCGAGCCTTGCTGTACCTCTGGCCCGTGTCTCAAAGCGCCAGAACGGAGAGCTCTTCACCCCCGCCGAGGTCAACTTCACCCATGGCGTCGCGTCCGGCGACCCCTATGACAACTCGGTCATTCTGTGGGCACGCCTGGCCCCGACAGTCGACAGCGTCGCGTCTGACCTGGTGCCCGATGGCGTGGTGCCCATCTACGATGACTCGGAGGGTGCTCAGCCATCCAGCAAGGCGGCTTGTGTCGAGTTCAAGATTGCCACGGACCTGCCCCTGAAGAATGTTGTTGACCAGGGACGGGCGTACACCACCAGTGACGTTGATTACACAGTCAAGGTAAGATTTGAGATATCCCTTACCGGAGACAAATTTGGTTGCTGACCGGGTGACAGTTCGAGGCGGGCAACCTGAAGCCGTTTACCACGTACTACTACCAGTTCAACGTGTGCGGCTCCGAGAAGACCAGCCCCGTTGGCCGTACCAAGACCATCCCTTCCAAGACACAAAAGGTTGACCGCAACATCAACCTTGCCGTCTACTCCTGCAGCAACTTCCGTAAGCCTTCTCCCTGCCCATCCCGGTGCGCCTCCACTAACATTCTCCTCCCAGCTGAGGGTTACTTCAACGCCTATGGCAACCCAGCCCGCAAAGAGTCCGTTGACTACGTCCTGCACCTGGGCGACTACATCTACGAGTACAAGCCGGACTCGTCCATCAAGGGGCGCAACCCCCTCCCAGCCCGGGAGATCTACTCGCTGTACGACTACCGCGCGCGCCTCGGCTCCTATCGCACCGACACGGACCTGCTCCTTTCCCACTCCAAGTTCGCCTGGATCCCCGTGTGGGACGACCACGAGGTGGCCAACAACGCGTGGAAGAACGGCACGGGCAACTCAGAAGGCGAGGTTTTCCGCAAGCGCAAGCAGGCCGCCGTCCGCGCCTACTTCGAGTGGATGCCGATCCGCCAGGTCGAGATGGACGACAGCCTGCGCATCTGGCGCAGCTTCTCCCTCGGCACGCTGTTCGATCTGATGATGCTCGACACACGGCAGTATGCCCGCGACCTGACGGTCCTGGGCGGGGCCTTCGGGATTGGCGGCAACAGCGCTGAAGTCGAGAAGCTGGTGGACCTGGAGAACCGGACGATCATGGGGTTCAATCAGGAACAGTGGTTTTACAACGAGCTGACTGCTTCGTCGCAGCGCGGCGCCAGGTGGAGGCTTATTGGGAACCAGGTCATCTTCAGCCGGATGACGCTGGGCATCCTGGGCGGCGACAACGACAAGCCGTTCAACAGGGACCAGTGGGACGGGTACCTCGCCAATCGGGACCGTGTGTTCAAGCATCTGGAAGAAAACCGCATCAACAACACGGTCATGCTGTCGGGCGACTCGCACGCTTCGTGGGTGTCAGATCTGGCGTGGCTTGGGAAGCGGGACTATGATGAGAACACTGGTGCCGGCGCCTTTGGGGTTGAGTTGGCGGGCACAGCTGTGACGAGCAGTAGTCCCGTGGGCAAGGGGATGCTGAATTTTGCGGCGAAGTTGCTGTCGCAGTGGCTGGTCAAGAAGAACCCCGAGCTGCAGTGGCAGGATCTGTATTACCGGGGGTATTTTGAGCTGAGCATTGGGTATGAGGTCATTGAGGCGAAGTTCTTTGGTATTCCGGACTTGAAGGTTAGGAGTGATGATGAGATTCTGCTGGCGACTTTCTTGATCAAAAACGGGGAGAATAAGCTGGCGAGGCATCCGACGGTTGGTGGGGGGAAGGCGAAGGGTGGTGCGTTGAAAAATGGGGATGTGGATTAAGGGGGAATTTACTGCTGAGATGTTGGAGCGACAGATACTTGGGTAGTAATGTGGTTACAAGCTTGTCGAATAGGGAGGTTAATACCAAGGTTGACACTAGGCCACCCAAAGGTATAGATAGCTCCTGATACCTACTGAGTCGGTGTGACGCAGCACCGAAGCCAGGTTTTTACTCCGTTCCATGGATCATATCGAAACTATTTGTATGTACCGCCAGATAGTCGGCCTAGTTCGTCTCTGTACCCCATTCACTTCTCTCTTCCCCTTTACACCCCGCCTTTTCCTTCCGTTCTCCTTTTCCCTTCTCCTCTGCTTCTTTCTTCTCTTCCCTTTTCTTTATATCCATCTTTTTTTTATTCTTTTTTATTAATTTTTTCCCTTACACCTTTAAATCTCTTCCCTTCAGTTATTTAGGGAGGGAAAATGTGTCCACACTTAGGCTATTATCTCCTGAAGACGACTGGGAGGAAATATGAAACCGGCGATGGTCGTCTACATTCACAGTCTGGGTTTGGTGAGGAGTGAGTAATATATGTTGATACAGTCGTAATTGGACAGTACTATCTTACTCTACAACCAACACCTCCAAACCCCCCAATACTAAGCGTCCCAAATTCCTGCCATCACCTACGCCCAACTCTTATCGATGAAGCTCCGGCAGCAACTGGGCAGCCAGCTGTACTGCTACAAAACTAAAGGCCTTGTTAGCATAGCCAATTCCTTCTTGATACATAAACTAGAACTAGGACCTACTCCGAGTCCTCGTCGTCATCACCGTCATGATTGCCGTGTGTATGGTCAACCCGTATGGCAAAGTGTGGCTCTGTCAAGGAGTTGGAGTGGTTGTGTGTTTCTTGGGAAATAGGGTGAGATTGATTTGCGTGAGAGGTTGGGTTGTTGTTGGTGACGCCAGAGGATGGATGTGAGGTGTGTTGTTCCATGGGTAAGTCTCCTTGGAGGGCGGACATGTCGGCTTCTGGTTGAGCTTTTGGGAACGAGGGGGCGTGTGGCATGGGTTCTTGCTGTCGCGGCTGATGTGGCTGTGGCTGGTCTAGGAGTTTTGTTTCGGCCTGAGTGGAAGTCTGATTGCCGTTGGCTGGGGCAGCAGCAGGGTTGTCGCCGTTGAGAGCGTCACTGGTGGAAGGCGGGCCAACACCTGCCGCCGGCGGGGGAGGGAGCTGATCCTTGGCCTTGCGTTTCCTGTTCGGCTTGGGCCCCGTGTAGAGCGAGCAGCTTGAGGTGTTGTCAAACCACTTGCAGTTGGAGCAACTGTTGTGGTAGCTCCCCGGCAGGATGCGGCATGTCACAAACGGACCAAGGGCGTTCTTGAACCGCTTCTCGTTGCACTGGGTGCACGAGACGTCGGCGTCTTGTCCTCGGGAGTGAATGAGCAGCCCGTTAACGTAGCTCGGCCGCTGGGAGGCGATGTGTTTGGCGGTAATCCAGCCCTGGACGAAGTGGATGGTTTCCCGGCTGGGCAGGCGGAAGATAGCACGTTGGGTTTCGTGAACCAGAGACTTCTCCGTCAGAGCATCGCGGATGCCGACGGTGACAATGGGCACAGCGATCTCAGCTTTGGCGGCGTTCCATGCGCGGACCAGGGGGGTTGTCTCCGTAATCAGCATCACGGACCGTTGTGTTTGGACGACCTGGCGGACGGCCCCGGCGCTTTTTGGGGAATGCAGCCGGCAGAGATGATGCGTTTGAGGTTGAGAGAGCGGTAGCAGGGGGTAGACTGCCGGCTTGTTGTTGACCCTGAGATGATTCGTGTGATTGAGGAGGCCCACTTAGTTGTCCAGACTGTTGCTGTTGCTGAGGAGGCCCACTTAGTTGTCCAGACTGTTGCTGTTGCTCGGGGTGATGTTGATGTTGGAGGAGGGCGTCGTCAATGGGAATGTCATGAGCTCCTCCCGCTTCTCCATGGACTGCAGCGTCTGGTATTTCCGTCATTCTCATCCACCATACAGAGACTGGTTATGGTGACTTGAGGTCAAGAAAGACGATGGTCGAAGTGGTTTCTACAAGAAAGCTGCGGCGATGGTATAGGGACGCAGGGTTATTCTGTAGTCGCGTTGAAAGTCCAACGTTGAAGTTGGATTGGAGGACAGGAATGCGGGTCGTGGAGTGTGGGGCGCACAGACCTGCCCATGCGCCCCACCGGCCGCCTACGTAATGCGGCAGGGCCGTGGCAGGCGGCATCAACCGACAACCCGGGACTGCACCACTCCAGCCAACCAACACGAACGACCAACTTCGCGGCCTTTCACTCCCAACGTCTCCGTCCGAGTTCATTTGCTTTTTTGCAAGGTTCGAGATCCGTACGGCCCCGATTCAATTGAATCCAGTTGATTCTCTCGCCACACCGCCCAGCGACCGCCCACAGTTGACACCATGTCAAACCCAAGTGCCCTCCTGCTCCTGGCCGACGATATCAAGCTGGTGCTGTTGGAGCAGAAGCGCGCCAAGAGGCTGAATCT